TTTTCTTCCCATCTCTAGAAGTAATTGCTATCCTAACTTTTATAGTAATAATTTCCTAGCTTGTCATTCTACTTATAACCATCAATGCATACATTCCTAAACAATATATAGTAACCTCCCATACCCATGGTTTCACTTTCTGCAGTTTCAATTACCTGTAATCAACCATAGTCAGAAAATATCAAATAGAAAATTCCAGAAGTAAACAATTCATAAATTTTAAATGGTACACCATTGGACTAGCACGATAAAATCTCTCATGGTTCTGAGTAACTTGATAAAATCTAGTGTGTCCTGTTCATTTCCACACAGGTGTGAACCATTCCTTTGTCTAGGGTCTCTAAACTGCACATGCACCCTGCTCATTAGTCACTTAGTAGCCATCTTGCTTATCAGATTGATTGTTGTGGTATTTCAGGGTTTGTATTTAAGTAACCCTTATTTTACTTAATAATGGCCCTAAACTGCAAGAATAGTGATGCTGACAACTTACATATGCCAAAGAAAAGTGGTAGCATGCTTTAAGTGAAAAAGTAGAAGTTCTCAACCTAAAAGGGAAAGGAAAAAAAACATATGCTGAGGTTGCTAAGATGTATGGTAAGAACAAATCTTCATAAAATTGTGAAGAAGGAAAAGGAAGTTTATCTTAGTCACTGAGAGAGACTACATTCACACAATTTTTATTACAGTATATTGTTAATGAGACAGGCCAGTAAGCCAGGACACATGGAATAAGGAAACTGAGAGATAGCTGAACAGACTAGCAGAGCAATTTACAGCAGGTACAGAAGGTCACCCCCATAGAAATAACATCTAGGCCTCAATTGTGTTTCTGCTCCAGACCCAGAAAAGCAGCAAAACTAGGTGGGTGACACCAGGACTAGCTTCGATGACACTGACCAATCAGTGAAGACCAGGACTCTGAAGGAGCACACCTAGAAAACCAATGAATATTCTGCTCAAACCCTTCCCTGAGACCTCCCCTAAGATTCCAGCTTGCAAGAGAGAAATAAAAGGCCCTAGACAAAGGACCCAGCANCTGACAGTGAAGGATCCTGCCACCTCTTCTTTCCTCTTCTAACCACAGAGAGCCTGACAGAGGTGTGGCTTGTTCCTGTGGGACAACACTTAGAGGTAGGTCCCAGGAACCCAGAGCCGATGAGATAGGCCAGGCAGCCAGGACAAGTGGAACAGCAAAACTGAAACAGACAGCTAAACCAACTGGCAGAGCAATTTACAGCTGATACAGAAAGTCTCTTTCCTGGAGCTAATATCTAGGCCTCAGCTGTATTTCAACTCCTGGTCCAGAAAAGCAACAAAACTAGGTGGGTGATGCCAGGGCCAGCTGCAATGACTAACAACTCCTTGCCCTAGCACTGGGAGACTATGACCCTGAAAGCACACCTGGAAAACTAATGAGTATTCTGCTGAAACCCTCCCCTGAGACTTCCCCTAAGATTCCTGCCTGCAACAGAGGGATAAAAGCCTCAAGACAAAGGACCCAGCATGCAGCCTCACACCATTCCCTTTCCCCTCTTCTTCCCCCCACTTCTTCCCCCATAGGCTCACATCTCCTAAACCCTAAGGGACCCCACGAGACTTGCACCCTGGGGAGCAATGGGCAGTGGCAACTCCTTGCAGGCTAGCCCACTAAACCTGTTCCCAAGGCCCCCTTTTCTCTGACTCCCCAGAGAGTTAGGGCAGCCCAGCCTAGGCTCTCCTGTTGCTTTCTCCTATGTTAAGCCCTTTATTGTTTTTCTGTCCCCAGCTTTAATAAATGTTCCCTCATAGTCACCTGGACTCAAGTTGTGAATTTTTCCTGTATGAAATCAAGAACCCACACTCTACCAGATCCACCAAGAGCCAGGTACCCTTGCTGGTAACATTATAATTGTTGTAATTTAATATTATTACAGCCAATTTCTTACTATGCTTAATTTATAAATTAAACTTTATCCTAGGTATGTATGTATAGGAAAAAACAGTATTTATAGGGTTCAGTACTCTCATTGATTTCAGACATCCACTGGGGGGTCTGGAACATATGCCCTGAGGATAAGAGGGACTACTGTAATTTAATTTTGCCTGGTAAAGAGATTAGCACTGTGTTTTTACTCATCTGGTAAAAATGTCACAGGTAGATGAAAGGGAGCAAAATATATCACCCCAAAATTTTCTTCTTTGGTATAAGGGTTATCTCTAGCTGGTCATTTTTTTAAGAAACAGCAGATACAAGAGAAAATCTGAAAACCTGAGTAGAACTTACCTTTTTGAAAGAGACATTTATATGTATAAGGGAATCTCCATTTGTAAGGATTTCTTCCTGCCCGTACCTGGAAGAGGATGACCAGATCTCTAGACACTCTTATCAATAGAGAAGGCAACTGATTTAATCTGCATAACAACCTTACCCTTGCTTATTGTGCTTTTCGTGATATGCTCCCCTCCCCCCCACACACATACTCATTTGTCTTTAGCTGGAGATGGTGTTTAAGGTGATGCTTGGGCCATTTTGAGGAGTTACTCAGTTTTCCTAGGGCTCTCCCATATATACAGGAGGCATACATGTTACTGTAGCAAAAAAGACTCAGGCCGTACACCAGAGGAGGCGAAAGGATACCTTTATTTAACGCATGCGGTCCCAGAGGAGGCAGTCTCCAAATTCAGCTTTATAGGGTCGTAGGTCGGGCCTGCTTTTTGGCGTGAAAATAGTGGCGGGGTTACAGAGGTTAGATAAGGTTAAATATACATTCAGGCAGGTAATCTGATACCTGAAATGGAGACTCTTTCTGAAATGGTGGCGGATCCTACCTCATTTCCCCCCTCTGGTGCTATTTGTTGCTGCAGCAATTATTGCATCATGATCCATGTCCCTATCCTCTGGGACTTCAGTTTCCTGGAGTCTATGATAATGGACCTGCTGAAGGGCTAGAATTTTGGCGGTGGCCCTTCTGGTAACAGTGGTTTCTAGGGTCCGGATGGCCGTTCTAATTACATATGGCCGGACAGATATTCCTATTAGGATGATAAGAACAGGCCTGATTAACGGAACGAGCCACCGGACCCAGGCCTGAGTTTTCAGGCCCCAATTCCAGTTACTAGCCTCCTCTCTGCCTCTCTGTATGCTTTCTTTTAATTCCTTTACTTTCTGTGTTATCACCCTGGACTGGTTGACAAAATAACAACATTCTTCCCCTAGGAAAAGGCACGTTCCCCCCTTCTCAGCCGTCAGTATGTCTAGAGCTCGGCGGTTCTGCAGGGTTACTCCAGTGAGTGAGTTTATCTGTTGCTGGATGGTGACTAGGGAGTCAGCTACCTTCTCCATGTCTAGATTCAGCCTCTCTGATAGCTTGTAATACGTTGAGGCTGAAAGCCCTAGTCCTCCTATGCCAGCGCTGACCCCTGCGGCTACTCCTACCCCTGCTAATATGGCAATTCCAGCCGCTCTCTTTGTCCACCCTGTGGCTCCCTTCGGGCGGGATGCTGCTAATATATCCTGGCTAGTCCTCAGGCTGATGCTAGGTACTAAGAATATTTCTACACACTTCCCAGTCCAGTTAGTGGGCAGGCACCGGTAGGCCTCTCTGCCACACAGGAGGAACAGACCAGGGTCTGCACAGAGGCTGCTATTGTTGGGTATGCTGAGGTTTTGGGCACAGAGCTCCGGGTTCAGGGCCCCTATTGAGACCATTCCTGGTGAAGCCTCCTTGGGTATTATACAGGTAACATTAGATCCTCTGGGATCTAGGAAAATGTCTGTGGCAACCGGTCCTAGCGAGAGAGTTTGATTAGGGTTTATAGGGGGCCTGGAGTGTTTCCAGGTCCCGGGGACTGGAATTCCTAGGAGTTCCTTTTCTCTGAAAGGGAGGCATACCCAGCATTCCTTTGTGTGGTTGCTTATGTTCTGGTATGCAGAGTAGATGGTCTGTACTATTCCCTGGACCTGTAGCATTGGATTCAACTCCTGTAGGGTTCTTTGGAAATTTGTGAAGTTAACCCCCTTGTAGGTTATTTCCTATTGTTTTAGTCTCCGCGTTACCTCCTTAATTGCATTCCTTTTTGCTTCCTCAAATTTCTCATGATTCATGTTACTTAATGGCCATATTAGGTCCCAACATACCTGCCGCCCGGGTGGTCCATATCCTTGGCACTTCTGAGCCTGGTAGCCCCTAGTTCCCTGCATAACCCCTGTCCAGTAGACCTTATTATTCCAGGTACACAGCCTTGTTTGGTTTTACACAGTCTGGTGGCATGTCAGTACTATAGGAAAAGGGGCTTCCTTCAACTACATATGATACTATACCCAAGAGTCTTATTTTCTCTCTCGCGGTGCTGCACTGGCACTGGGGAACTGTGATGACGGCAGGGGCACTTATAGGAAGCAAACTATATATCCACACAAACAAGCAAAACTGAGGTATAGTCCCCTAAGGGCTACCCGCCCCCACAGGTTCCAGTCCTGAGGTGCCGTCGCCGCCAGTCCTACTCCGAAGATTGTAGCGAGGAGCCCAGCAGCTGCGAGCTACCATTCTGGACAACGATCCATTCGTGGGTCGGTACTTTCCTTAGCTTCAAGGAGGGTAGCCGCGGCTGGGGCCGGTCCTCAGGTTCTCCGTTGACCTCAGGATC